CCCAATATGGCCATTCTTATGTACTGTGACCCTATCTTTCAGGTGAGGGCACTGCCTTCATTAATATGTTTGCAGGCAGGAGTTGTAAAAACTGTATTAGAACGAACAGTCACTGATCTCAGTTACCTGAGCACTTTGATTCCCCCATAAAACACTGGTCTGAGCACTTTACTCCATGACCAAGGTTAATGCACTTGTTAACCCATCTCTACTGACCTGCTTTTTTCAGTCTACTTAAGTCCCTGCGTTTCAGGCACATTAGAGCTTGTCTGCACAGTGAGCGCAGCAAGCCATGTGTGAATCTACAGCACGGTGAAAGTCCCAGAGTGTGGCTTAGTGTACTATGCTTTCAAGTAGCTGTGCAATGTGTCATTGTTAGGGCCCTACCAAATTCACGGCCATGAAAAATGCATCCTGGACCATGAAACCTGGTCTTTTGTGTGCTTTTACTGTATACTATACAGATTTCATGGGAGTGACCAGTGTTTCTCAAATTGGGGGTCCTGACCCAAAAGGGAGTTTCAGGAGTGGTCACAAGGTTATCTTAGGGGGGTCACAGTATTGCCTCCCTTACTTCTGCACTGCCTTCAGAGCTGGGCAGCTGGAGAGTGGTGGCTGTTGGCCGGGCACCCAGCCCTGGCAGCTCCCCGCCAGCTGCAGTGAAGAACTAAGGGTGGCAATACCATGCCATGCCATCCTTACTTCTGCGCTGCTGCCTTCAGAGCTGGGCGGCCGAAGAATGGCAGCTGCAGACTGAGGGCCCAGCTCTGCAGACAGCCGTGCAGAAGTGAGGGTGGCAATACCATACCATGACTTACTTCTGCCTGCTGCTGGCGGTGGCTCTGCCTTCAGAGCTGGGCTCCCGGCCAGCAGCCACCGTTGTCCAGCCGCCCAGCTCTGAAGGCAGCACTGCCAGCAGCAGCAGTGCAGAAGTAAGGGTAGTAGTACTGTAATCCCCACCCCCTACAATAACCTTGCGATCACACACACACACAGACACACACACACACACCACCTTTTTGGGTCAGGACCCCTCCAATTATAACATAATAAAATTTCAAATTTAAATAGCTGAAATCATTACATTTATGATTTTTAAAATCCTATAACCGTGCAATTGACCAAAATGGACTGTGAATTTGGTAGGGCCCTAGTCATTGTGTATTGTTGGTAGCCAACTCTGGACCAATGGGACATCAAGTGATGGCAGTAGAATGCTAGAGATATAACTCCACTACTTCACCCCAGTGAATGTGAGAGAAATCTACCCCTGAGTATCAGTCACAATAGCAAGACTCCCATTGACATCATAGGGAGCAGGATCAGTCCCCTACAGAGGCCATCTTTTGGAAGAGACATTAAACTATCAAGTATCTATTGACTATGTACAAGCCCATCTAACCTACCGCTTTCCCTGTATCCTGCCTTCTCCATTCAGTCCCAGGTGCATGGAATAGTCTGTCTTCTAACATAGAGAGACAAGGTAGGTGATCTTTTATTGGACCAACTTTTGCTGATGAAAGAGACAAGCTTTCAAGCCACACAGAGCTCATCTAACATGTCTAATATTGCAATCACACCCTTTGTTCTCTCAAATCCCTGCTTCAAACTCGCTTCTGCTGTGACAATCCACCAAGAAGGAGAAAGGGAGAAAATTATTTTGAAATCTTCACTGTTTAGAGATTGGATCTTATTGGTCCACCATTTTGTGTCTGATCAGTATAGTTTGTCTAAGTTAGGCCCCATCCACCAAAGTTCTTAAGCACCTGCTTAACTTCATGCACCTGAGTAGTCATAAGTGTAGCCAGTTGTTAGCCGATGGCCAAGGATGTTTGATGAGGTGCCAGCTATGCCCGTTTTATACCATCCGTGACTTTAACCGCTAGGACGCACTGTCCCTTCGCGGCGGGCAGCCCGGGCTAGGCTGACGGATGCCCCAAGGTCCTAAACACCCGTGACTTTAACTGCTGGGGCTCAGAGCTACTTCGCAGTGGGCAGTCAACACTGACTGACAGGTGCCCCAATGGCAGCACTAAGAGCCTCTCCATACCCGTGACTTTAACTGCTAGAGCTCAGAGCTCCTTCGCAGCGGGCAGCCAGGATTGACTGACAGGCGCCCCAAGAGTTTGCCCCGTGGAGGCGGCACAACTCAACGCTAGGCTCTTAGTACTCTCACGTAATGGCCAGGCTTTATAGCCAAAACGGCCGAGGTTCTTTAATTGTGTTGGCTGCTTTACAGTAAACCAGAGAAACAAGTCAGGCTTATGCACAAATGGTTACCAAAATTTATTAAACTAGATTCTAATCATGTGGTTACAAAATTGCTAGTGCCTACTTATTTAAATGTAGAGATGTTACACACACAAACAAGTTACAAAACTGAAGCCACAATCCCAAAGAAAGAAAACAAAGTATAGAGCTCTATTTCAAAATATGTGTACACTAAAGATAGGAGATCAGGTGTGGGTGCTTCTTACCCTCCTTGCATCTCTCGATTCCAGCGGTGCCAAGCCAGGATCGGTCACTCAATTCCGCGGAAAGACGAATAAGGGACAAGGCTTAGGGACCCTCTTAGCTGCAGAAGCCTTGGGAGGCTGTCACTTATCTGACGAGCAAATAGATAGTGAAAAGCACTCAAAAATCATGGTGCTGTAGGTCCCATACTTATACCTCTGTACTCCTTTATTCTCTTTCTCCTTTCTTATGCCAAATTGGGGCTGGTCTGTCTGAGCGACGCCAGCTCTCGCAAGAGTAGTTTACACTTGCAAGGGAGAGAAACAATAAGTTTCGACTACTGGACATTCCTTTTATTAGGGTAAATATTTTCCCACCTAGGATGTTGGGGTGTGTGCATCACGCTATTTAGTAGGGGCTAAGAGCCATGTCTGTCACAGCTTCTCTGTCTGCTGTGAGCCTAATCGTTGTATATGTTCCCAGAGGCACATTGTAGCAGCACGCCTGTGCTTATCACAGCTTCAAAGGCTGTGCTGCAATTGATGTTAAGTGCCCTGTTGTTTTGGCTCCCTTGTGTTCCCAGCAATGCTGGTCTGAGAGGGGGGGCTGGCTGTCTGGCTACACCAGTGCATAAAGGTAAGCAGGTGCTCATATGTTTTGCTGGATCATGGATTTAGACTGAAAGCACTTTGGCTCCGAGACCTTGTCTTCCTTATTTATTTCGCATGTGCATAGTTGTCTAGCCAAGTAATGGCATCTTCAGTGGCGTGATGCAGTTCTAGGCCACTGCTGAACCTAGTCAGCAGGTATTTATCGACAATGTGCGTCATCATCTGTGTTGCACCACAGCTGCACAAAGGGCTGTCACGAAGGCCCCAGCAATACTGGTTGGATGCACAGAGATCTTGCCCAGTCCAGAACCTGTTCAACAGGGACCACTGGCAATGGGGCAGGTCAAAACCAGGCGGGCAAATTGTGGGGTCGGCAATGAGAGACTGGTTGGGGATTATAACAGATATCCATTCCTCTCGCCAGAGTGTTTCTGCCCAAACATCCTGACGTGGCAGATGAGACCATAATGGGTGACATGATGGCAAACATGCAGCTGGTGGCTTAAAAAGGTCATTGTGCAGCGACAAGCTTGAGTTGGCATGTACTTTCTACAGTAACTTGCTAGTGGCAACCTCTTGTTTGATATGAGGAAAAGCAATATTGCTCAGAACTGGAAGCCATGGGAGTGGAGTCAGACGCAGGGTGCCAGAGATGATGCACATGGCGGCATGTAACTGCATATCCACCAGTTTGGTGTGTGACGATCGACTCCAAACTGGTGCACAGTACTCCGCCACCGAATACGAGGTGGCAAGAGGTGACTTCCGCAAAGTTGGAGCACAAGCATCCCATGACAAACCTGCCAGTTTGCTAAGAAGATTATTGCGCGTCTTAACTTTAGCTGCTGTCTTCTTCAGGTGGGTGTGGTAACTCAATGTGCAGTCTAAGGTCACACCTAGATAGATCAGTTCTACTTCATGCTTCATCTTCTGACCATTCAGATAAACATTCAGTTCTCGGGTTGTGCTGGCTTGGTGAAGATGGAACAAACTGGAGACTGTTTTTATGACACTTGGCTGGAGGCACCAAGTCTTACAGTAGTCAGCTAACTTTGTCATATCCCAGTTTAAGGTGGCATCAAGCTCGTGAAACGGCTGAGCCTGGGTACCACAACAGATGTCATCTGCGTAAATGAACTTTTGTGACTCCGTTGTTGACAGGTCATTGATGTAAAGGTCGAACAGGGTTGGAGAAAGCACAGAGCCCGGGGTAAACCATTGCTCTGTCGTCTCCAAGCACTTGCCTTCTCCCCCATATGGACTCTGAACTGCCTATCGCGGAGGAACAGTTCAACAACTCCTGTGACCCAAGGTAGCAGGACCCATGATACCTTCACGAGCAGGCCAGTGTGCCATACCGTATTGTACGCCGCTGTTAGATCTATGAAAACAGTGCCTGTTTTTAAGTTTCTCTGGAAGCCATTTTCAACAAATGTGGTCAGCGTGAGTGCTTGGTTGCATGTGCTACGGCCTTGCTGAAAGCCGGCTTGGTCAGGGCTCAAAATTCTCTCCAGGTTGGGTAATATACGTTGTAGGACCAAGCGCTCCAGTGCCTTGAAGCACACAGACAATAATGATTTGGGACAATAGCTTGATGCTTGACTTGTCTTCCTTAATGAATTGTGTAGTGAAAAGTACTTTCAGTGCTTAATGAAAAATAACAATAATGATAATAGTAACACCAAGAACCAAAGGCAACTTCTACAAGTCAGAGAATTTTATAGGGGGGAGAATCAGGGATAAACCTGATGCTTTGGCCCACACTCCCTCAGTCAAAACAGGCTCTAATAAGAACTGGTCAGCATTTTGTATGTGGAAAGTTTTCCGCACAGAAATAGACAGTTCTTTCAAAACCAAATTTCTTGGCAGCAAAATCAGAGAGACAGGGTAGGTGAGGTAATATCTTTTATTGGACCAACTTCTGTTGGTGAGAGATACAAGCTTTCGGGTTTACACAGAGCTCTTCTACAGGGACTGACACAGCTACAATAACATTGGCAGAAACATGTCAGTTCTGATGGAAAATTTCAGTTTTCCCAAGGGAAATTTCTAAATGAACATTTCTGTTTCAAATCGACATTTTGAAATGAAACCTTTTCTTCCATTTTGATTTCAAACATTGTTTCATTTGAGCCCCGGGTTGTTTTGTTTCAAAATGTTGGTTTGAAATGAAAATCATTCGAATTGATTCAAAACGTCCCATGGGAAAACTAATATTTTTCAACAGAAAGTTTTCAAATAAAGGTTTTTTGAACAAAAGTTTCTTGGGGTGAAAAATTTTGGTTTTCTGACCAGTTCTAGTTCTGATGTAAAGGCTCTGTCTAGAACGTTGCTGGGTGCTTAAAAAATGCCATGGGGACCTATAGAATGCCTATGTTATCATGATCTAATGCAGTTTTACCCAAAATGTGAGGTTCTGTGTGCAAATATTAGTCAATGGTGGGTGGCGGGGCAAATAGACAGATGTCTCAGTTGTTCTTCGGTCTCAGCTTCCATTCAGACAAAAGCGTCTTTGGCTGTTATGGATACAGAAAAAAACAAACAAAGCATAGTGAGTGTAAACAATGAAGAGACTTCTGCCTGAGGTTGCAGAGAGCCTGAAACTCTGAGGGGTGAACAGGTTCATTCATCTGCATGGCTGCTAACTCAAAGGGGTGGGGGAGTATCATTGTTGTCCCTTTGCTAACTAAGTGGCTAGTCAAAGTGCAGGACCTTGAGGGGCTGTTCCAGTTGGGAGTAAAAACCAACGATAGAGTCTGGTGTTCTCTGTGATACAAAGTCCTGCTTCTCTGAACTCAGCAGCAACCAAAAACAAAAGGAGCAGTTTCTTTGCTGATAGGCCCAAGCTTCTCTCAGCCCAGCCCCCAAAAACCCAGAATCTCTCTCTAGCTTTCTTTCAGGGGCACACAGGCTGCTGCTTTGCTTTCTTGCTCTGCCCCTAGTCTCTCACAGTTTTTCGTGTGTGCACCAACCCTCCACCAACATGGTGCTAGGTTTGGGCAGACTCCATTAGGCCTTGTTTGAAGTGAGGCCCCTTTACAGTTCCTTTATAGCAAACTTAAGTGAAGACACATTCACACCCATGAGTTTCAACTCAACCCATAACAAGGTTTAACCCAGTTCCTAACAATGCTATGAAGACTGACCCCAGTGATTCCCTAAGTCGGGGGGGGGGGGGGGAAGAGAGTAGAAAACATATAACTGAAGATGTGTAGGCCTTTAAAAACACTTGGCAGAGTTACATTGGGTGGGGAGACCAAAATGGGTATCATTTGGCTGAATAGTGTTTTAAGACAGCTTGATGATGGAGGGGTATATATAAAATCAAATTCTAGTCTGACTTCTACTCTACATCTTTCCCAAAGAACAAGTGAAGATCTAACTGAATCATCTAACCCTCTTCTCTCCACCTCCCCACATCCCGTATTACTTTGGGAGGGATTCAGGGTTAATTAAACTTTCCTTCCTGTTCTTCATCCATTGTCCTGCAACGACCCTTTGAACAAATGTCATTTCGAAAAACAAATATCTTAAGCGCAGAAAGCTTCACTTTGGCTAGAGCTGGGCAAATACTTCAAAAAAAATTACTGCAAATATTAACTCAAGGTGAAATTCATCCCAAGGTAATACTTAGGTACAATTTAAGTCCTAATTTGCACCTACTTAGGTTAATCCTCTATAGAGGGGTGAATTTCATCCTAAATGTTTTTCAGCAGATTGATGCTAATAATTGTTTTGCCCCTTTTGTGATAACTTTCCAAAAACATTCACCTGGTGGCTTCACTAGCATAGCTACTTGAAAGAAAGCCACATTTAAGCTTGCTCTCATGAATAATTGTGAAATGTGAATCTTAACCAGCTAAAAGTCACTTCTCCTTGAAAATACTTTAAAGCTACTATTGTTTTGTCACTTGTACTAACTCAGTGATGAGCTGCCAAAATCTTAACAACTGGTTCCCTCCTCACCCCACTAGGGGGTCGTTGCCCACCCCCGCCCCCCAGGACTCCTGCCCCATCCAACCCCCCATGTTCCTTGACACACACACCCCCCAGGACCACTGTCTCATCCACCTCCCTCCCCTGTCCCCTGACTGCCCCCAAAACTGGGCAGGAGGGTCTCGTGGGCCACCGTAGTGGGTGCCCACCCCACCCCTAAGAGCCAGAGGGACCTGCCGGGGGGCGAGGTGGGGAGTCCTGGCGGTGCTTACCTGGGGCAGCTCCCAGGAAGCATCCGGCAGGTCCCTCTGGCTCCTAGGGGCAGGGGAGCGTAGCTAGGGGGGGAGCAGTTCCCCTGCACGCCCCCCTCCCCGGGTTACCTGCTGCGGCACTGGCGGCCCTCCTCGCGTCCCCCCACCCCCTGCCTCAGCTCACCTCCGCCTCCCTGGGCCTGAGCGCGAAGCCACCGCCTGCTTCTCAGCCCGCCCCAGCTTCCCGCACGAACAGCTGATTCGCGGGACGCCTGGGGGGGGGGGAACTGAGAAGCAGAGTGGGGCGATGTGTTCAGGGGAGGAGGCGGAGCAGAGGTGAGCTGGGGCCGGGGGTGGAGCGGGGAGCTGCCGGTGGGTGCTCTGCACCCACCATATTTTCCCCTTGGGTGCTCCAGCCCTGGAGCACCCATGGAGTTGGCGCCTAAGGCGCCACTTTGGGCCGGTTAAATTTAGAAGCCCTTTTAGAACCGGTTGTTCCTCACGGAACAACCGGTTCTAAAAGGGCTTCTAAATTTAACAACCGGTTCTAGCGGACCGGTGCGAACCGGCTCCAGCTCACCACTGCCCTAGCTAACTATAACTGAAAGCACTTAGAGAAAAATATACCTTTTTTTCTTTTTCACTTTCTTTGCTTTGGGTAGAATTTTCAAGAGCTCCTGAGAGGCATAGAAGCCCAAGGGTTGGTCTACACTGAAAACTTCTATCAGCATAGCTATGTCTCTCAGGGATGTGAATAATCCACACCTCAGAGAGTCCTATGCCAACCTAGCCCCCAGGGTAGACAGAGCTAGGTCAATGGAAGAATTGTTCCATCAACCCAGCTAGTGCCTGTCGGGGAGGTGGGTTAACTACTGCAATGGCTGTGCCACTGTAGAATTTGAAGTGTAGATATACTTTAAATCTCACTGATTTTCAATGATTTCAGTTCCTACGTCCTTACAGCACTTTTGAAAATGTCACCCTTTGTGCATTTGACTGCATTTTGAGTATAGTCATTTTCACCCCTCCTTACGCCACGTCAGGTTCTCCGATTGTTGTGTGTGTCCGTCACACTGCAGCAGAGAGTAATTTAAAAATAGGAGAATCTCACCAAAAAAACACAAAGGATTGGAGGCAGATATAGTATGAGACACTATTTTTAATTAGAGTTCATTGAAATATTTTCCATCAATTTTTTTTTAGGGAGGGTGTTTGTTTATTTTTAATGGACAATGGCTTGTCAGCTAAACTGAATCTTAAGAACAAATTGCAATTTTTTTCTTGAAAAGTAAAAACTAAAATTTTGGGGTAAGCTGAAAACCTAACACATTTAACATTTTCAAGTTTTTTTATTTTCATAATGAAAACCGAAAACATATTGAAGAAAAACTTTGACAAAAGAGCGGGCGTGGGACTGGTTTTGGATACATTTTTCATGGGAGAGAAAAAATAATTTCCTGACCAACTTTATTTTTTACTAATTATTTTTAGACTGACTGTAGTTTAAGTTCCTGGTATTCCTTTGAGAGCGTTCACAGAAGAAAAGTTTCAGAGTAACAGCCGTGTTAGTCTGTATTTGCAAAAAGAAAAGGAGTACTTGTGGCACCTTAGAGACTAACCAATTTATTTGAGCATAAGCTTTAGTGAGCTACAGCTCACTTCAGCATCCGATGAAGTGAGCTGTAGCTCACGAAAGCTTATGCTCAAATAAATTGGTTAGTCTCTAACGTGCCACAAGTACTCCTTTTCTTTTCACAGAAGAAAACTAATTTTAAGCGTTATGCTTATTCAAAAGGGAACAGAAAGAACACCCTTGGCTAAGTCTTCATAAGTGCTCTGCGCCTACAAACAGGCTTTTCCCGATTTTTTAAAGTGCTTAGGTGCTATTTAGGCAGTAAAATAGGTCGTCAGATTTTCAAAAGTGCTCAGTATGGTGGGTGTTGAGGTCATCTGAATTGTGCATGCTGAAAATCTGCCCTGAGCTCTCTTAAAAATATGCTCCATGATGTTTATGTGACCAGTAACAACTGAGCAACGCAGCTTGAATTTCAAATTTTAAGGACCAAGATATAAATTAAATTCATGACAAAGTTCATTGAACAATTTCAAGTAGTGAATAAGTTCAGGAAAACAGACCTGTTAGTGGACTCCATGAACAGAGGCAAGATTATTCATTATAAATTATGTGCACATCTCTAGCTTTTACCCTCTGTCTCCAACATGAAATGCTCTGAGAATAGTTGAAGCCCTGCCTAATGCAAGGTCTTAAACATCTCAGTTTTGTGTTTGTTTTGTAGACATAGTAGGTTTCAGTTTCACTGCATCCCTACTGCACAGGCATTAAGTGCTTTGTAGAGTTCAATTAAAATAATGAGAAACTGGAGATTAGATACGGCGAGCTGCATATCGGAGAAAATCTTCTTGACAATATGCCAGTATTTGAGCAAAAATGGTCAAGTCCTCCTTTGGTGAGAGACATTTCATCTTTCCCCACAAGTCTGTCTGCAGCCCTACAATTCTCCCCATACATATGGGAGACTTACAATTTTTCTAACTCATAAAATGCCTGGATTTTGGTTCCCACCCTGCTAAACTATATACAACTGTTTCCATTATTTCAGTGGATATTTTATCAGACCCATGTGCCTGCCTTGCTGTTGTCCTTTTAAAAAAATTCCTAAAGGCTGTTTATTGTTTCAGTAGAAGTGAGTGGGAACCAAGCCCCCCCACCCCACCCCACCCCGATACAAACATGCCCAAATCCAAATCCACATTTGCTTGTTGTGCCACCAGTTCATTGCTAGTAGAGAGAAGTAAGCAAATTATGTCCTGATAGGAGTGATGATTGACAATAGCTTTAGCAAGATCCTTTTCCCCATTCTGTGCTCATGAGCAAACAGTATTTTCTCACACTGCTACCACAAAGGTTGGGGTCATCTGAAGATCTCATTAGCCATACTTCAATTAGGAGGGAGGGGGTGCGAGGCTAGACTCTGGAATGTTCTAAATCCCAGCTTGTCTGACAGAACCCAAATCTGTTGCCCTCTTCTTTGCTCCTAGGTATTTGCCTGAGAAGCGTGTGTGGCATTGAATTCATTAGGAAAGGCAGTATTTCTGTTCACTTACAAGATGTCAGATGTTTTTAAATAGTGTCCAAATACCCAGAGAAATGAGAGCTGTGAGAACTGTGTCCCTAGTTACCCAATTTCATGCACAAATGGTGGTTTGTGATCACAAACCTTGTAATTAAACGCGTAATGTTAAAGGCCACTTTTTGGGAAAAAAACCAGCAGTGTTTCTCAGAGCACATGAGATTAAATTTCACATGCTAGCAAAGGGCAGTGTGCTGATGGCATATAAAATCTCACCCTCGATTGTCTTGTGTGTACTGTACCTAACAGCTGCCTGTTTGAAGGCTGTCAGACTGCACCTAGCCACACTTCAGATTTGTTTTCACAGGTAGGAGAAGCTAAACAGGGAGGCTGGTCTTATAGTTAAGGCAGACTAGGTTATAGACTTCCTGCGTGACCTTGAGCTAGCTAGCTCCCCATGTGTGAAAAAAGCCATGTAGTACCCAGGAACCCTGAAACAAGGGACTCGGGCTGTGAGGTAGAGTCCTGTTAAACAACTATTCATTATTAGGGTAAGACAATACGCCACCTAATATCAGTGCCAGGCACTGTACAATCACATAATAAGACAGTCTGTTCCCCGAAGAGTTTACAATTTAACTAGACAAGACAGGTTGGAAGAAAGGAAGAATTACTATCCCCAGTTTCATGCTGTTATCCATTCATAGTAAAGGCTGCACATGACAGAGAATTTGCACTTAAACCAACTGAACAAACCAGAATGAATGGTTTATGTACTTTTGACCCACCATAAACCCCAGATGATAAAGTGCTCTGAGATGAGTTATGAACAGGAAATTCACCTTTGGTTCTTTGTAGGATTTTGAAAGGCTCACTCATTTGTTTTGTTTTCAATGCAGTTAGTTTTTAGAATCAATGTTAATATTTTGCAGGTTACCATTAAATTTTTGAGTGATGCTCTTAACCCCTTGAGTGCCATATTGGATGTGTTTGTTGGAGTCTACTATACTTCAGACAATCCTAGTCAGTTCATGTGAAAATGAATGGAGGACTGGTTCAGACTAAATAAATAAAAGCCCATGAACCTTCACCCTTTTCTTGACCCAAGTCAGTGGTACAGGAACAGCCTGATCCAATGGATAGGCTATGGGCCTGATATTCTGGAGACCTGAGTTCTAATCACAGCTCCCCGCGCTGACTTATTATGGGCAATTCACTGGCCCTCTGTTTTCCAACCACCATTTGCCTGTTTTATCTATATAGCTTGTAAATTCTCTGGGACCGATGCTGTATCTTACTATGTATTTGTACAGCCCACAGTACAGTGGCACCCTGATCTTGATCGGGGCCTCTAGGATCTATACTGTACTACAAACAATACTATAAAGATTAAGAAATACTCAAAACAATTTGCTGTTTTCAAAGCCCTTTGCACTTCCAGGTTCTAGTCAGGAAAATGTGCTGAGCAACCACTTCAAATCCTATCCCAGACCAAGTTCACAGACTCTGAACATTCAGATAAACATCTTTTGTTGATTCGCCCCAGTCCTCCGCTCTGAACCACTGGTATTCAGTCATCGTTAGAGAGAAGTCTATCGAATTTAGATACATATGGCAAATGACCATAGAGCTGTTCATGTGTCACTGATGGTTTCATAGGAATGCCCTTAGGGCACAAAAGGGATTAATGATACCAATTTGAAGCCCCAAGTGCACCATTTTAGAGCAGAGCTTGCCATGATGGCCAGTTTCTACCTTCAGTTTTCACTTTGTTCTTAAAGATTGACTGTTCACTTATATCCTCTAAGGAAGCTCCTAGCAAGATGGATGTATCATCACACTTTCAGAAGAAAAGGAATTGTGCACCTCAGTTTAAAAAAAAAAAGTTGAATCCCATTCAATAATTCCCCAAATTTATATCCCTCAGTAGCATCTCAGTAATCTCTCCCAACATTAGTTCAGAAAACAGCTTTTCATTTACAGCTATATCACTGCAGTAATCCAGATAGCATGGGCTTTATTTCTACTGTGATGTTCTAATACTAATTTGCAGGAGTGGAAGGTAATTTGCTATTGTAACCAATTACTTTTGTCCTTGGATAAAGCAGACAGCGAAGTCAGTGCCTCTGGTTAATTGGAAACACCAGAAAGATATCCCTGATGCTCTGTATATTTCTCTATGAAGTACAGTACTAAGGATGTTGTTAACATTCATTTTAACTTGCTCACAATTAAAACAAAGGCAATACACTGAGATCTAAGCGTGAGGCTTCTTGGAACTGTTTTGATGTTATATTTTGAATGGTGGCAAAAGATCATCTGTGTTCTTATCAGGGAGGTGTACATCCAAATAATGACTTCCAGATGTTTATATAACTGAGCTTCAGACCCTTTTTCAGGGTTGCCCTTCACTACTAGTTATTGGTCTTGCACACCCAGTGTGAAAAGTCAGACAAAGAGTATTCCATCCGATTGTGTGTCATGGTACCCAAAGAGTGTGTCTTTAGAATATGAAGGGTAAATATGAACTGTAGGCGAAAGTACTTCTGTTAATACTCTGTATCCTGACCTTTCAGCTTCTGTTTCCACCTGCTTTTCAGAGAGCAGCCTGAGACCCCATGCTGTTAAAGTCACTACAGCAGCCCATTCAGCTACCACTACGACATTCACCCCTTTCCAAGGAAGGATGGTTTGGGGATTAGGGCCTAAGAGTGGGCCTCAGAAGATGTCGGTTCAGTTCCTGACTCAGATACAGATCTCTTGCATGCCTGGGGGCCTGTCACTCAGGACTAGATTTTGATACCCTTATTCATGCTGAGTTGCACCAAATTCTGGGGGTAGCCCTATTGATTCCAATCTCTACTGACACGTATAGATCAGGCTACGGATATGCTGTTTCACAGGGGTGTGGTGTGGCTTTATTCAGTAAGACATGTTGATGCACACAGATAATACAGTGATGGATGCTCTCTAAGAAACTACACAGAGAGTCTTTGAGAGAAGGAAGTGAGACTGTCAGAAGGGAGGGAAAAACTTAGAAAGGGTCTCTCTAGAGCTCGACAAGGAGGTTTATATTCAAATCATCATGTCTGATGTGAGTGCTATTGAAGTAGCCCTGTCCACTAATGATCAGCTGGGGGGACAGAACCTCGAGAACTGCTGCTGGTTCTGCCAAGGTTTTAAACAATCACGTTGCTAGTCGCATTCCAGCCAGAACAAACAAACAATCCACCCTGCCATTTGCTTTCGCTGCTGTGAATCTCATTGCGTGTCCAGCAGCAAACGGCACTGCAGTCAGCGCTAGGCCAAAGTGGGGAAGGAGAGTCTGCCAACATTTCTGTTGTTCACAAAATGGACACGACCAGGGCTGTGTTGGGCACAAACATTATTTGTGGGAGACAACTGAAACAATTAGAATGTAACAACTAGAGTCACCTTCAGACTAGACAGGCACGTTCCTAGCTAATCTGACTATCTCCATTTCCAGCGCACTGATCACCACAGTATCTATGTATCTCCATGGCCATTCATCACACACACCAGTTTCTCATTTGAATATTGCCAACAATCTTGTGACTAGCACGGACCCCTCCCTCGCTCTTCTACAGTTGCTGCTAGCAAAGAGAAGGCAAGTGGCCGTGTCATTAGCAGAACTGCAGCATAATCATTGCTGGGCCTTCCCCTTTCCTACCTCTCAGCTGCTCCTCTTTGAGTCCTTTCTGGCAAATGGCCTATAAATATACAATAATGTCCAGTCAGGCAAAAAGATAGTTCACTTACCAGCAAGCTATGATGCTTTCAAAATCCTAAACACCCAGATGCACATGGTCCCTTTTTAGGAGAATTGTGGGTGCTACCAACAGGGTTAGACCCATCAGCACCATACACACCACTCCCTTTGATCAACAGGAGTAGCTCTATGAGTGGAGTGCAACAGGAGCAGTGCGGTTTCCTCTTGTCAGACCAACCAGTAAAGAGAACATGCCAGTCCCTTTAAAAGCGTATGAAATACAGATGAAATCACTTGGAAGATGGGGCACTTTGTGAGACTTTTCCATGACAGAGGGCACCTGTATAAAATATGGGAAGAAGAAATCCAGGTTGAAAAGTTGTCCAGATCTTTGGAATCTTGGGAAACATTTAAATCATCATCATCATCCCTAATCTTCCTCCCACACCCCGGTCAAGATTTATCTTTTCAATTATAAACGTGCCAACCTCCACTCAAGTACTTTGCTGTGATCAGTCCCTCTCCTCTCCAGTCTGGCAAGCAGCAAGGAAGTAGCTGGGAGAAATGAAAGGGATTCTCTGTGACATGCTATCTTCCTGGACTCCAGGTGCCACATTAAGGCAGTAATACTTGGCAGGCAGGCAGGGATACTGGCAGGATACAGAGTAGCAGCTGCCACTGCTGCCTTTTGTCATCGTCAGGACTTTAATGGGAAATGAACTAAAATTAAAAACACTTCCCTCCCCCCTTGTCTTTTGCTAATACAATTTACAAGTTATTTTATTTATTTATTTATTTTGAAAAAATCAGTTTCAGAAAACTGGATCACTTTTTCAATTACTCAGGTAGACATGCTAATTTGTGACTTGCCATGTCTGATGGATTAGGTCAGTCAGATTGCAGTAGATTATAAATTTTACATAACAGAGCATTAATAATGTAATTAGCGAGGATGCAAACTGGCAACGATTGATATGCCTGGAAAACTGGATCTCTAAAAAGTTTCAGCATCCAGAATCTCCCAACTCTGTCTCCTTGTTTTCCTCTCCATGTATGCATGTCCTAATGTCTCACTATATGTTTCTCTCTCAGTATATAATATTGTGGAGGCATGGGTTACACAGATGGCTTTCCTTGTCTGTCTCCCTGTTTGCAAAGTACAGCAAACTGCATTGAACACAGGCTTCCCTAAGACTTAGCATCAGAAAGAGAGGTTGGTTCTTCTTCCCTCATACAAAAATTCTAACAGGTTACTGAGCATTTCAGGAGGAACAATTCCACCTAATCAATATTCTGATCTGAACTGATTCTGAGGGCAGGGTATTTAGCATCTGTAGATTCTACAGTGATATGAAGCTAATCAACTCTCCAGCTCCATTTTCCAATCTTATTAGAAACCCTATCTTGTCTTCCATGCCTGTACAGCTTAATTTTCCTCTCCAACTCAGCTGTTATTTAATTCTCTGATGGTACATAACACTGAGAGGCATATAGACTAGGAGACTAAACTGGGACTGGGGACTAGATTTCTGAGTTCTAATCTCAATACTCTCACTGATCTGCAGGGCAAGCATGACCTTGGACAAGTCTGAGTTTCCCCATATTTGATGGGGATAATTTTACCTCCTGGGGTGTGGGAAGGATTATGCTTTGAAAATAATAAATCATTGTATTTAATGCTGTAAAAAGTCTTGGGGAAGCTGTTCTTATAGGAATGATTCTACATTAAATGAATGTGTTACAGGGTGGTGGTGTGGTCAGCCACTGGACGGAAACTCAGAGCTCTACTTCAGTTCTGTCTCTGTTACAGCTCTGTCACCTTGGGCAAATCACTTTCTATCTCTCAGTGCTTCAGTTCTCCATGCGTGCAATCGGATTAATGATACTTCCCTACCCCAAAGGGGTTTAGTGAGGGAAATTCATTAATGTTTGTGAGGTGCTCAGACTCTCAGCGACCAGGAGCTATATAAACTGATAGAAAGTATTGTATTATATTGTTATGCTGGGCTACGAAAGTAATGGCTGATATTATGCAATACGCAATCAGCAGGTTTTCTATTCCTGTGTTTCACTAAGAAATCTGGTACCTGAACACAAATGCAATGATGTAAGTAGCTCTACTTCCAGATGCTACCACCCTGATTTTGATTTCACTTGCACCACTTATTTCAATAGTTACTCATGTTATGGGGCCAGATTGATGATCATGTGTAACTACACTATGAGTAAGGAGGTCGTCATCTGACCCACAAGGACTGTAAGATCCAAATTGGGTCTTCTGACACGCTCAGTACTTGGAAGGTATAGACAGATTTTCTGTCTGTTCTCTTGTTGTTCTTCCTAGAAAAGTAGCATTAAAACATTTCAAAGTGAAGACTGTGCATGATTTTAACAGCACTCCCTGCAGAACTTTTTTAAAGGAGCATGCAGAATTTCAACAAGTGTAATTAACATCAAGTAGGGAGTGGAGCAATAGCCATTCATGATTACCTCCTGCTGCCCTGCCCACCTGCTGGCCACCAGCTGCTCTTCTTCTGCTACCTTATCTACTGTGCTTATTTACAGTGGTGCCCAAAATTCTCCACTTGTTTCTTTCAGTGTTTTCCCAAGGGATCATTCCATTCCAACAGCTTATCTGTGACCCAGCTTTCAAACCCGGTTGTGATGCTCCTGCTTCTGTGCAATTAATGGGCTCCGTGACAGAATCACTGGCTGGAACTCTATATGGCCCTTGTTATGCAAAAGGGCAGCTGTCACAATGGTCCCTTCTGGCCTCAGAATCTGATGTGCCAGATCCTCAGATAGTGTAAATCGGCGACACTTACACCAAGCTATGAGGCTACATCAGGCCTGATTCTCATCCATGATCAGTTTAAAGTGGTATAAGTTGATTAGCACCAGTAGAGTAGCTCCAGATTTACACCAGTGTTTATCAGAGTAGAACCAGGCCCACAGAGAACATATTTTTACTGCACTTATCCTTCCCCCACCCCACTATAATCCCCCACCAGCCATCTAAATCCCAGTTCTAGAGGTTCTTCAAAAGGTTTAGAACAACTGCACTGCTCACCCCCGAAAGCGCTGATAGTACATCGAACGGCCCTGAAATATCAGCTGTGTAACTTCAGTGGAGGTACAGCTAGAAGGGGTGTCTGGGTGGAAATCTTTCTCAATGCACTAGACTTTATTGTTTGGGGTGGGAGGGAGAAGCCTCTGCATGAAGGGCCACCTGTTTTCCTCTCTTCAACCCTCACCGTGCTGTTCCCTCAGGAACCCCCCACCGCTCACAAGTCTCTTTCCAGAGCAGCACCAGGACAAGGGGGTCGCTGAGCAAGCAACAGTATGGTGCCTGGTTCCTCGCTTGCTCCAAGGGGGAAGTAATCAGCACCAGCCCTATCCCTGGGCTGGATCGCTTCCCCTCCATGCTGGCTCAGCCGGTATGTGCATTGGGTGGAGAAGTGGAGCCCAGACTGTGACACTGTACAGCCTGCTCACCCATTCCCCACCACAGGAAGGAGAGCAGTTGCCCTGCAGAGGCCGCGCTACCTGTATTCCACACCACTGCCTGCAACCTAGGTAGCCCAATCAGGGAATAAGGATGCTCCTTATATGCCTGACCAGGGAAATATAGTGTGAGTGACAACCTCACTCAGTTGTACTTTCTCTCATTCACGTCCCACTTCACACCCAGTGTCTTATTATTATTAACGATGTGTTGGCCCACTGAAATGTTTTAATTACTCTGTTAATCCTGTTCAGTTCCACATGCTGCTTTCTGTTGGCAAATCATCTTTGGACTAAGTCAAGATGTATTTGTAGATTTACATGCCGTTTCCGCTCATCAGATCAGAGTGCAGCGAGTTGCTAGGAGATAGCATTTGATACATAATACCCCAGTGACTTAAGCCAGAGGAGTGGCTTAGTGAGCTAAGATTCAGGATTGAAACACCTACGCTCCCTCGAGTCACTGATTCAAATCTCAGCCATGTCAATTTAGCCTTTCATTCCTTCCAAGGTAGATCAGTATGCTTTAGTGTGGGGGAGTCTTTCTGACAAGACCTTAAAAACTGACCTTCTCCAAATGAAAGATCTGATGGTGCTGTTTGTAAGAATAGGGGGTTTTCCTGATGTCCTTGCCAAAAGCTCCCCTCTCTTTACTCTGGTACAGGGAGCTGATCTCCGCCTCTCTTTCACCCCCAGCCATGGCTGTGTTCCAGTGGGGCTAGTTAGCTGTGGTTTGAGGCCCTTTAGGACCCTCCAGGATGAAATGGACCCTTGCAGTTTAGTTTAGTTTTATTATTTATCCTTTGTGTTTCCCAGTTTAGGCCAGATCATGGCAATGAGACAATGCCCCCCACTGTGGGGACGGGCAGTGCAGAGCCACGTCGCCCCTGTGGGAACTCCAGTGGGGGACTGTGCATCAGGCAGAGAGTCCCTCCCAGAGCTCAGGAAAGTATGCACGACTGCTCAGCTGGCTCGATGGACCAGAGGGAAGGGGGAGAGTGGCCAGAGTCCCACCTATTTCTTCCCTTTTGCAGGGTGATTTGAATCCCTCAGGGTGTTGGGGGAGAGCAGTCCCTTGCAAGGAGGGAGGAAGGCTGCCCCTGTGCTAGGGTCAGGAACAAGTGGACCCTTTGATAACAGACCAGGGTGTACCATCTTCTAACTGCTTAGGTGTGAAAACACAACAGCAACGTGTGAAAGTTCCAAAGGCTTGTCGTTCTCTGCCAGCATCTAACATTGAACTTACATTGAACATTTTTAACTTTAATGAAGAAATAAGAAGCCCAAGTTCCAGTTCCTGTTTCTAAGAGGCACTTTACACTGAGGGAAGTTGCAGCAGAGAATTTTCAGCCTCAGCCTTTGGGAATGATGCCCTAGGCCCACTCAGAGAGCTGCTCCATTCATCAGTGAAGTCTGTCGCAAGTGTCTGGCTGCCAGTTGGCAGACACAATAATTACAACTTCATCTTCCTGTCTGTCTTTGCTTTCCAAGCATTTCCTAATTCTGCAGTGGAACCTGGTCACAAACTGTGTGGCCCCACAGGCCAGTGTGTGAGTGAGGGTTTCATACACAGAGCAGCCTAAAGCATTAGAGGAGGTCGTTTTATCATTCACGACTAGCTGCTGAAGCTAGAGATGGCTTATGCTTATTCTGGAGTTAGTGACCGGCAAAGTTATGAGTCATAACTTTGAACATATAGCCACCTTTATGAGCACAAACATCCAGAGGGCTGGGCCTTGTGACCTTTCTGGACAAGAGAAGAATAATGATGCACTCATTTGCTACTGAGCTGATAAATAAGATTGCAAGCACACATAAAAACATGAGGTTTCGGTGATGCCAGCATAGCATAAAAGCTTTAATACAAGGCCAATAACTCATCGAGAGGCATTTTGACTGATAAGGGCGTTTTAGGGCAGAAAGAGGATGAAACATCCAGTTTGATGAACAATGGATATAAAACAGTGAAGAACAGACATAGCAGCAGCGTGTTTGACTGGTTAGGGCACAACACTGGGAATTAGAAGAGATCAAGCTGCTAGTCTC